CCTCCTGAGTAGCTGGGACTGCAGGCACACACCACCACACTCAGATCATTTTTTGATTTGTTGTAGAAATAGGGTCTCACTATATTGCCCAGGCTGGTCTTGAACTCCTGGGCTCAAGAGATCTTTGTACCTTTTGTAGCTGGGACTACAGGCGTGCACCACCACGCCCAGCTAATTTTTATATTTTTAGTAGCAATGGGGTCTCACCATGTTGGCCAGGATGGTCTCGGTCTCTTGACCTCATGAGCCACCCGCCTCGGCCTCCAAAAGTGCTGGGATTATAGGCATGAGCCACCATGCCTGGCCAAAGCTACCTGTGTTAGGGACCAATCCTTGTCCTGCTCAGAGCTAGAGGTCTGCCTGTAGGAGCCTAAACTCTCACAGGCAATCCCTGGCTGGTGAGCTTCTCTTCTCCAGGCTTTCTCCAGTGCAAGGAACCCATTTTTCTCTCTGAGTCACACGCACTTTATTCTTTCATGCCTCAGGGCCTTTGTACATACCGTGTTTTTGTTTGTTTGTTTGTTGTTTTTTGAGACAGGGTCTCTGTCAGCCAGGTGGCAGTTCACTGCAGCCTCCGCCTCCCAGGCTCAAGTGATCCTCCCGGCTCAGCCTCCCGAGTAGCTGGGACTACAGGCCTGCACCACCACACCTGGCTAATTTTTTGTATTTTTAGTAGAGATGTGGTTTCACCATGTTGGCCAGGCTGGTCTCAAACTCCTGACCTCAGGTGATCCACCCACGTCGGCCTCTCAAAGTGCTGGGATTACAGGTGTGAGCCACCGCACCCAGCTGCATTTTGTTTAGAATGATAACTCAACTGGTTTTTTGCATCACCCACTGGGCTGAACAATCTCCTGAAGACCAGAGACAAATTCTCTTTGACCTTTGTATTCCCTGGGTGTGTGCTGGGATTACAGGTGTGAGCCACCGCACCCAGCTGCATTTTGTTTAAAATGATAACTCAGCTGGTTTTTCGCATCGCCCACTGGGCTGAACAATCTCCCGAAGCCCAGAGACAGATTCTCTTTGACCTTTGTATCCCCTGGGTGTGGGTGACGGTAAGTGCTCACTAAACGTTTATGGACGGCACTAACGAAAGTCCTGCTCGTGGCCCTGCCTTGTGGCAGTGTGGAAAGCCACCACGTGGCCGTCTCAGCCTTCAGGACACAGCGGATCTGTGAATCAGGAGCTGCCTGATGGGGTATGACCCAAATCAGGAACGAGGCGGAGACTCAGGGCCTAAATCTTAGCAATTGTCCTCAGGCCTTGGGAGAGACTAATTTGAGTTTGATTCTTTGCTTCCCCAGTGACATGCAAGATGATTTTATCTCTCCATGTGGGGCCTGCAGGCAAGTCATGAGAGAGGTAAGCAGCTTCTCTTGCTTTCTGGAATGCGAATCTCTTCCCTGTCGCAGGCTATGGGAGCCACGCCAAGCTGCAGGCGTGGCAGGCGTGGAGACACATCTATTGGCCCGTTTGCTCGGTTGGCTGACTTCTAAGGCCTCCCTACACTTGCATGAGTCACTGGAAATTATTCCTTCATTTAACAAATACTTACTGAGCAAGTGTCTGCTCTGTGCCAGGCACTGAGGTAGCTCTGGGGAGGCAGCAGGGAAAAGATGGGCCAGGCCCTGCCCTCACAGAGCTCATAGGCTAATGCAGAAGACAGATGATAAACAAGGAGCAAAATAAATAAACAAACAGTGGCGTTTCTGAGAGTCAAGAGGGCTATAGAGGGAAAAAAAATGCAGGAAAAAAAAAAGGAGTCCAGTGACAAAGGGGCAAGCAGGGGACACTGCAGACTGGGGTCAGCGAACAACAGCCCATGGGCCAAATCCAGCCTGCTGCTTATATTTGTAAATAAAGTTTTATTGGTACACAGCCATGGCCATTCACTCACCTATTGTCCATAGCCACTTTGCCCTGACAACAGCAGAGGTGAGCTATTACGACAAAGGCCACATGGCCTCTAAACCTAAGATATTTACTGTCTGGTCCTTGACAGAAAAAGGTTTGCCAACCCCTGCTTTAGATGTCCGGGAAGGGCCTCTTTTTGAGCATGATATTTGAGCAGAAATATAAATAATGAGAAAAAAATGAGAGGAACAAAGGTCTAGAAAAGGAGATTCTGAGACAGCATAAGCAGCAAGTTTTGCGCTCAGACTCTTGGTGAATTTGAGAAGAGGCAAGAAGGCACCAAGAGGGCTAGGGTCTGGTAAGTGAAAGGAAAGCAATGGGATTGAAGTCAGAAGGGTAGGCAGGTGCCAGATCACATGGGGCCTGGCCATGGGATAAAGGGTACATTTTATTCCAAGAATAAAGGAAACTGAAGTGTACACTTTTTTTTTTTTTTTTTTTT